ATGCTTTTGGGTGCAATTGTAAATGGGATTGATTCCTTAATTTCTCTTTCTTCAGTTTCATTGTTAGTGTATAGAAATGCCACTGATTTCTGGGCATTGATTTTGTATCCTGCCACACCGCCAAATTGCTGTATGAGTTCTAGCAATCTTGGGGTGGAAGTCTTTTGGGTTTTCTATGTAGAGTATCATGTCATCGGCGAAGAGGGAGAGTTTGACTTCTTCTTTGCCAATTTGAATGCCTTTTATTTCTTTTTGTTCTCTGATTGCTGAGGCTAGGACTTCTAGTACTATGTTGAATAGCAGTGGTGAGAGTGGATATCCCTGTCTTGTTCCTGATCTTAGGGGAAAGGCTCCCAGGGTTTCCCCATTGAGAATGATATTTGCTGTGGGCTTTTCGTAGATGGCTTTTAAGATGCTGAGGAATGTTCCGTCTATCCCTACACCCTGAAGAGTTGATCAGGAATGGATGCTGTATTTTGTCAAATGCTTTCTCTGCATCTATTGAGAGGATCATGTATTTTTCTCTTGCTGATATTATGAATCACATTGATTGCTTTAGGAGTGTTGAACCAGCCTTGCATCCCGGGGATAAATCCCACTTGGTCATGGTGGATAATCTTCGTAATGTACTGTTGGATCCTATTGGCTAGTATCTTGTTGAGAATTTTTGCATCTGTGTTCATCAGGGATATTGGTCTATAATTCTCCTTTTTGGTGGGGTGTTTGTCTGGTTTTGGAATTAAGGTGATGCTGGCCTCATAAAACAAGTTTGGAGGTATTCCGTTCCTTTCTATCTTTCCAAACAGCTTTAGTAGAATAGATATTGTTTCTTCTTTAAACGTTTGATAGAATTCCCCTGGGAAGCCATCTGGCCCTGGACTTTTGTGTCTTGGGAGATTTTTGATGACTGCTTCAATTTTCTCCGTGGTTATCGGCCTGTTCAGGTTTTCTATTTCTTCCTGTTCCAGTTTTGGTAGTTTGTGGTTTCCCAGAAATGCATCCATTTTTTTCTAGATTGCCTAATTTATTGGCGGATAGCTGCTCATAATATGTTTTTAAAATCGTTTGTATTTCCTTGATATTGGTTGTGATCTCTCCTTTTTCATTCGTGATTTTATTAATTTGAGTCTTTTCTCTTTTGTTTTTAATAAGGCTAGCTAATGGTTTGTCTATCCTACTAATTCTTTCAAAGAACCAACTCCTAGTTTTGTTGATCTGTTCTACAGTTCTTCTGGTCTCTACTTCATTGAGTTCTGCTTGAATCTTTATTAACTCTCCTCTTCTGCTTGGTGTAGGTTTTATTTGCTGTTCTTTCTCGTTTCTTTGGGTGCAAGGTTAACTTGTGTATTTGAGTTTTTTCCAATTTTTTGAGGGATGCTTGTATTGCCATCTATTTCCCTCTTAGGACTGCTTTTGCTGGATCCCAAAGATTTTGAAGGGTTGTATCTTCATTCTCATTAGTTTCCATGAATCTTTTAAATTCTTCTCTAATTTTCTGGTTGACCTTTCATCTTTTAGCAGGATGGTCTTTAACCTCCACGTGTTTGAATCTCTTCCAAGTTTCTCCTTGTGATTGAGTTCAAGTTTCAAAGCATTATGGTCTGAAAATATGCAGGGGACAATCCCAATCTTTTGGTATCATTGAGACCTGAATGTGACCCAGTATGTGGTCTATTCTGGAGAAAGTTCCATGTGCAATTGAGAAGAATGTGTATTCAGTTGCATTTGGATGTAAAGTTCTGTAAATATCTGTGAAATCCATCTGGTCCAGTATCATTTAAAGCTCTTGTTTCTTTGGAGATGTTGCGCTTAAAAGATCTGTCATTTGCAGAAAGTGCCGTGGTGAAGTCTCCTACTATTAGTGTATTATTATATAAGTATGTCTTTACTTTGGTTATTAATTGATTGATATACTTGGCAGCTCCCACATTAGGGGCATAAATATTCATGACTGTTAGATCCTCTTGTTGAATAGATCCTTTAAGTATGATATAGTGTCCCTCTTCATCTCTTACTACAGTTTTTGGGGTAAACTTTAATTTATCTGATATGAGGATTGCTACCCCTGCTTTTTTTTGAGGACCATTTGAATGGTAAATAGTTCTCCAACCTTTCATTTTTAGGCTGTAGGTGTCCTTAGGTCTAAAATGAGTCTCTTGTAGACAGCAAATAGATGGGTCTTGCTTTTTTATCCATTCTGAAACCCTGAGTCTTTTGATGGGATCATTTAGCCCATTCACATTCAGAGTTACTATCGAATGATATGAATTTAGTGTCATCATAATACCTATCAATCCCTGTTTTTGTGGATTATTTCTTTGGGCATCCTCTTTTACAGAGTCTCCCTTAATATTTCTTGCAGAGGTGGTTTAGTGGTCACATATTCTTTTAGTTTCTGCCTATCTTGGAAGCTCTTTATCTCTCCTTCCATTTTGAATGAGAGCCTTGCTGGATAAAGTATTCTTGGTTGCATGTTCTTCTCATTTAGGACCCTGAATATATCCTGCCAGCCCTTTGTGGCCTGCCAGGTCTCTGTGGAGAGGTCTGCTGTTAATCTAATATTTCTCTCCATATAAGTTAGGGATCTCTTGTCTCTTGCTGCTTTAAGGATTTTCTCTTTATCTTTGGAATTTCAAGTTTCACTATTAAAATTTCTGCTTCTCTGGGGCTGGACTTTCCTGTCCTGGAGGCTCCTGCCACCTGGCCTTAACCTGGCTTCTCTGGGGTGGCCCCGCCCCACTTGATTCTTTTTATTTATTTTTTTCCGCCTTCCTACCTTGCTAGAAGCAAAAACCCTTCTCTCTGTAGTGTTCCAGCTGTTCTCTCTTTAAATCTCAGGTCGAATTTGTAGGTTTTCAGGATGATTTGAAACTTATCTTGGTAAGTTGGTGGGGGCCAGTGACTTGGGGGATCCACTCCTCCGCTATCTTGCCCTCCCCCTCCAATTCCTATACTTTCAAGGTATATTTTATTTTATTGTTTCTTGGTATCTAATGTAGAGACTTATGTGACTTTATTATTGTTACTCTTTTAAAGATAATTTACCTTATTTGTTAAGAGTTACATTTACCCTCTCTGTTTTTCTCTTCTTCTCCCATTTTGATGTGTTTTCTTAGCACTCATACTAAGGTGGGCCTCGGTATAATTCAGGAGGGGCATTTATCTTATTGAGGGTTCACAGAATTCCTTCAATTTTTTTCTGGTGTATCCCTTATGCCTTTTATGATCTTTTATGTGTTTTCCATTGATTTGTTACTCCAACCTTCCAATGTATATTCCTGTTTACCATTTCTCTTTTCAGATCTGATAAAACTACTGTTAAATTCATCTACTGAGTTCTCCATTTGGATTGTTATTGTTGAATTTCTATTTGGTTACTTTTAAAACTTTCAGGCTCTCTGTTATAATTCACAATCTTTCATTGAATGCATTAAACATATAACATCCTATTATGCAATAGCTGCAATTTGGGGGGGGGGCGGTCTGTTTCTGTTGCCTGTTTTTTTCCCTCCTGGATTATTGTTGGAAAAACAGGCTGTCTTCTGTATACCTCCTACTTATGTCGATTCATACACATATTTTCTGAGAAACATTTTAATGGAGATTTTAGGCTCTAGAATGATTTTTACCATCCAGAAAGAGATGACATTTGATTCTGGCAGTCTGAAGTGCTAAGGTATGTGACCTCCATCCAATCAAGGATGCACTGCTGATGCACTGCTGGCTCTTCCCAGTTCTTCCCTCCTCCTGGGGTGTAGCCCTGCTGAGATTCCAACTGAAGTTCTTGGAGTTTGTCAGAATCTCTTCTCTTTGGTCCTTGAGGATTAATTTTCTTCCCTGACTCTGTGAGATTGCTGGAGGCTTTGCTCAGCACTGAGGCCCCTTAGCCTCTCCTTTATCCCAGACTCTCTGCTTGTAATCACCTGTTTCTATTTCTGAGTCTCCTCATAAGCTGAGGGACTCCAAAGAAAGAAAAGTGGGTCTCAAATCTATGGATTTTCCTTTTTCTTGTTTCCTTCAATATTTATGTTTTATTATTTTTCCGTGGAGGTGAAATGGACCACGTTTCCAGTTAGAGACATTAATTTGAGGCTGGTGGTGCTCCACATACCAAGAGAAATTGAAAAGGTGTTTATCATTCATACAAAAGATTCCCAGAGAGAGCAGGGTGTGCACCAGTAGGTCCAACCTGGCTTCCATGAGACAGAATGTTGAGCTTTTATAATTGCTAGGGGTTGGGATCAGGGAATGCTCCTTCACTGGTCTGCAGATTGATGAAGCATGAATTTTCTAGCACCTACACAGATCTGAGCTGAAGGGGAAGATAGAATTGACATGTTCACAATACTGAGATTTACAACCCTGGGCATGATATGGCCTTCCATTGACATAGGTTTTGTTTTCCTCAAATTATATTTTGTTATTAATTATTTTTAATAATTTTGTGATTTTTCCTAAGTAGTAGATTTTTTGAGACACTTAAAGGATATGTTTTCTAATTTTAATTTTAAAGCATTCATTTCCTTTATGTAGAAATGCAACTGACTTTTGCATGCTGACTTTGAATCCAGTGATGAGGTATTTCTCCTGTTGTTTCTAGTAGTTTCCTTTTAACTTATTTTGAATTTTCTCTGCATACAATCTTTTAGTCTGTGAAATATGATAGTTTTCATTCTCTCCTTGCAACTTTCATGTGTTATAGATGCAGTTGTGTTGTTACACCCATCAAGACCTTTAGAGGCATCCATTCCTACGAATCTGATCTCATGTCATTGGTGGTGAAAGTGTTCCTCAACCTGGAGATGCAGCTAAGTCTGAGGAAAAGTCTAGTAATCAGAGTACAAGTCTTGTCATGGAGTTACTTTTCAAAACCTCAATATTTCCAAACAGAAGAGAGATGCTGAGACTCATCAACCACCACAGCAGCTGCTTCTAAAGGAAGCACCTGGTAAAATGAAAGAATCATTGTGGTCTTACAGAGGTTTTTGTCTCCTGTTGAATCACTGTGTATATCCGTTATTATACTGCTGACAGTAATAAACTGCAACATCTTCAGGCTCCAGGCTGCTGATGGTGAAGGTGAAGTCTGTCCCAGACCCACTGCCACTGAACCGGGATGGGACACCAGTGGCCTTGTTGGATGCACCATAGATGAGGAGCTTGGGAGCCTGCCCAGGTTTTTGCTGGTACCAGGCTAAGTAGCTGCTAACACTCTGACTGGCCCGGCAGGTGATGGTGACTTGTCCTTTTTGAGACAAGGAGAGGGAGGCTGGAGACTGTGTCAGCACGATTTCTCCGGTGATATCTGAGATTGGAAATAAAACACAGAAGTCAGCCATGTCATCAACATCTTAACCCCTGTCTTCAGCTTTGTTCATCTCGATTGAGCTTTAATTAACTTGCTTATTAAGCAAAGGTGCCAAGTGATAAGACCAAACAACACAAATTTTCACTGACATGCAGAATCATCCCATGGTCCTCTCACCTGGGAGCCAGAGTAACAGAAGGCAGAGAAGGCGAGCTGGGGCTTCCATGGCTCACTCTGTGTCCTAACTGAGGCAGATCTCCCCCAGAGCACTGACCCAGCACTGATATGGGCTCTGGACAGCAGAGTTTGCTAGGAGGAACATGCAAAGCAGCTGGGGAGGGGCATCTGGGCTTTCAGTTGCAGAGACCATTCACCTCCTCTTCTCTGCACTTGAGCAACCCATCCCCAGGTGGTCTTGTCAGAAGACGCCTGGAGCTCAGCCTGAGGGAAGAATTTCTGTCTGAAGAATTTCTATGGTCACAACTTTTGTTTCCTATGTCCTCCTATCTCATTATTCACGTAGATTCAGTGAGATGGTGTTTGGCACAAGAATGTTGGTAACAAAAGAGAAACTGTTGGTTCTATTACTTACTTTCCATTCCCAATGTGCATGGACATCTTCAGTGCAGCACTAGATTGGGTTGGATTGAGGAGGTGATCAGAAATTTATCTTTCAGACAGACCTTTACTTTGTTGCTTAAGTGATCTCAGCCGTAGCTCAAGTCATTTGAAAAAAGTGAACAGCTGTTTATGATAAAAGTTCTCAGCAAGTCCTGAATAATGGAAAAACACCTTATTCCCATAAAGTGTCTATCAGTATTCTATAGCAAGCATCATACTCAGTGATAAAATATTGAACACTTTACTCCTTATATTTTAAAAGAGATGTAATGTCCACTATTACTGCTTCTATCTGAAAGTATACATAAGTCCCAGCCTGTGCAATAAGGAAAAAAAAAGAAAAAAGGAAAAAAAGCAAAAATAAAAGAAAGGAAGAAAAAAGAAAGTTAGAAAATATGGAAAAGAAGAAGCAAAATATCTTTATTTGTTGAGAACAAAATGTGTCCATAAATTCTTAGAGAATGTGCAACTAAACCTCTAGAAATAACTTAGCAAGGTGTCTGCATACAATTTAAATACATAAATATCTATTATAGATTAAAGGAGATTTAATTAAATTGAGCTGGTCCATGCTTAAAAAGTAGAAAACTTGATATTAAGGTTTCAGTTTTCCCAAATTTGACATATAAATTCAATGCAATGCAATTAAAATCTCCTAGAAAGTGAAAAAAGGCAATTCCAGAATTTCCATGGAAATTCAAAGGACCCGAAAGGGTCAAGAAAATCTTAAAGAAGAAAAATAAGTCTGAAGACTTACAATACCCAGATTTCCAGACTTCTTATAAACTACAATGATTAATACAATTACTGTAGGTACAAAGAGAGACAAATAGAGAATTGGAAGAGAATAAAGAGTCCAGAAAAAGATACACATACAAAATTACATGATTTCTAACAGAGATATTAGAGTGGGGTATAGTTGGCTTTTCAGGTTTCTCTGTTGTTGTTGTTGTTGTTTGCAATGAATGGTAAGCTGCTATTGATTATGGAAATAAGAATAAAATGAGAAATTTTAAAAAAAGAGAAAAAAAGACTTGGCTCATCTAACACCAGGCAACTTATGAATTATGTGTGAGAGGTAAAATAATAATGCCTCTAGAAGAAAGCATAGAAGAATATTTTAGGCTCTAGAGATAGGCAGAAACTTATTGAATGAGACACACACATAAACATAGAAAACAAACACATAAGAAAAAATATAAATTAGACTACTTTATAATTAAGAATTCCAAATCCATATATATGTATATCTGTGATTCATATTATATATATGTGGACATGTACATATAAACATACAAAAGGCTACTGAATAACATTAATCATCAGGAAAATATAAATTTGAAACATGACACCACCTCAGATTTATCAATACAGTTTTTTAAATGGTCTAACAATACCAAGTGTTAGACAGGATTTGCAGCTACTGAAATACTTATTACATGGCTGTTTGAATGTAAACATGTTCACCATTTCAGTAAAGTGTTACAATATTAACTAAAGCCAAGCCTATGCCAACTCTTTGACTAAACACTTCAGTTCTAGGAATATACACAAGGGAGGTGGGGGCATGAATCCACAAAAGACAGACATACGAATGTTCCAATAAAACTTTATTAATAAAAACTGAAGGGGCACCTGGAAGGCACAGTTGGTTAAGTGCTCAGCTCTTGGTTTTGGCTCAGGTCATAATCTCAGGGTCATGGGTTCCAGCTCCACATTGGTCTCCCAGCACAGCACAGAATCTGCTAAGGTGTATATTTCCTCTCCCTATGCCCCTCCCCTACCTCCTTACCTGCACACACACTCTCAAATAAGTAAATCTTTAAATAAATAAAATAAAACAATAAAAATAAAAAGTAAAATAAAAAGCAAATGAAAACTCCTTAATTAAAAAATGAATAACTTGTAATCTATTTGTGTAAAAGAGAATTATTCTGAGGTAAAAAGAAACAAATTACTGCCACACTAACAATATAGATGACACTCAAAAATATGTTGTTTGAAAGAAGCGCGACAATAGTACATAGCCTGTGGCTATTCCTGATGAAGCACAAGAACAGGGAAAATCTGGTTAATTTTGATAGAAAACAGAACAGTGGGGACCTCTGGTGGTCGTGGAAGGAATGTGCATTGACGGAGGAGCATCTGGATATGAGTAGCGACTATAGAAAACTACGTACATGTTTATGTTTATCCACTTGTACACTTTGTAGTCACTTTGCATACACTTCACCGTGTCTATGTATATCTAATTGTTTTAAATGAATGGACTAATTAATGAATAGGAATTAGAGAGTCAAAGTATCGGAGTCTTTTGCCACCTTCTTCCCTACAAGCCCTGATCCCTTAAGCAACCTGAGCTCTGAGAAACTTTGATTTCTCATCTCTATAGGAAAATTGTGAGAGTAGTTGCACTAGATTATTAAGTCCTTTGTACAGTATTTACACATAGTTAAGTGCTCAAGATTTCTGGAAATTGCAACTGGAAGTATAATTGGGGTTTGCTCCTTTTTAATTTTTAATCAAGTTCTCTGCCTTTAATAGACACCTCCTCTACAGAAGATATTCAAAGAGCATGCTAATGATAAACCTTTTGTAGGCTCTACCTAGAAATCTCATTTTAGAATGAATAGAGGTATTCATGTTGCCAAGAAAGTTTTTGCAAGATTGAAGTACCTTGCAGGCCTTTACCTGGAGCCCTGAAACTCCTGAAATAGACCATGCACTTGTGAACAGACCCTGGGTGAGTGCAGGCATTGTAACCCACCACCCTCATCACATAAGCACATAAGCCTGGGAGAACAGTTTATACTCAAGGCTATAACACTGTGGGAGGAGCTGTATAGTCATATATAATCAACCTGACTCCAATAGATCTCTTGCTCTATGGCACACTACTAGGGGTTCGGGAGTTGTCATTGTCCTAGGCAAGTTGGATGCTTGCAAGTTCCAGTAGCCATATGTGACTTGGTTAGTTGAAATTCATGTTATTGAGCTCATGCATGACCTTCTATGACACTTGTTTATGAGTGTCCCTGGAAGAGCTGGTAAAGGAGACTGATTGAAGCCATGTTGGATCATCTCATTATTGAGCATTCTCTGCTCAGTAAGGACTTTTAGATAAGTATTCACTTGGAGAGCCATTATAGTAAAGCCAAATATGGAAAGCCATTATTTTCAGTCTTGGCCTATTTTGTTCTTGGTCCATTCATGTTCTTCCAAAAATATCTTTGTGTCTGATCTTTCAGTTACGTTTCTCCTAAGGCCTGATAATCTGTCAAAGCCAGCAGTCCCTATTTTTGAATTGCCTACCTTTGTTTGATTGGTTTCCACCACATGTAACCTTTGGAGTTTAGACACTGTTGTGATTTCCATTCATTCCAGACATTCTCGACGATAGCAGTGATGTGACATCGGGCCAACATAAATCTCTGATAAACATCAAGGCATAATTTTGTCTCCAAACCCAGAAGTAATTCAGAAAGTGAAGGAAACACAGGAGATAATCTGGAATTATAAGATATCTGGACATTTTTTCCATGTCCAGGTGTCCAACTGGTACAATTTTGTTTTTTTTCAACTGGTACAATTTTGATTTTTAAGGGAATGAATGTCTCTAGGTCCTTATGTCTCCTTCTTTATCTGTAAAATGAGGTAACTGAAGTAGGTGATCTGTACCCCACTGTCAATACAGTGCAGCTCTCTGATGGAGGGCACTAGGACACAGATTGGCTTAGGATTTGTTTTTGTTCCACTCCTGGTTACTCTTGGTCAATGGACAGTCTGTTAAATTGGGCCCATTTTCTTTCATTTTTCCAATATCAACGATCTATAAAATGTCAGGAATGGTTCCTAAAGAAAATTCTTAACCTATGAGTATTAATTTCTAGTGCATATTTTAACCCTCTCCTTTGTCACCAGGGCCAGGAGAGTCATCCACCCATACTTGTGAAACAGGACAACTGTTGGCAAAGCAAACTAATTATATTATAATATAGTATAATATTTATAGCAGGAAAGGGGGACTTTAAACTCTACTGTTAAATAAATCAGATAAAACTTGATGACTGTCTCTCCTTGAGATTCTAATATGCCTCTTCTCCCAGGGTAAGTGTGGTCTCTTAAACTACATTTGAAGACATGTGATTTTGTCCATGTAATTAATTTTCCAGCCACTGTCTGGTTTGTTTTTACTGATTGGTCAATTTGTTTAATTGCTGTTATCTTTATAAATCATAAGTGCTATGACCTAGGTGAGAGAGTATAAGCCACATTTCCCCTAAAACTGAGAAAGAAATCTAATAAGTAATATCTTACCTGGATGTCATAGCATCACTGTCAATGTACATGTGATGAGGACTTTCATAGATTTGCTGATTGATTTTTTTAACATTAGGCATAATTTTCTCAATTTATACCCTTTGGCCCTGATTGAATTAGGAAAGTATTTAAAGGTGACTACGTGTATTTGTGAAAGTTCTAAAAATAAGGTTTACTGGAATGCCTGGGTGGCTCAGCAGTTGAGTGCCTGCCTTTAGCCCAGGGCATGATCCTGGAGTCCCAGGATCAAGCCCCACATCAGGCTCCCTGCAAGGAGCCTGCTTCTCCCTCTGCTTATGTCTCTGCCTCTCTCTCTGTGT